CCTCAACTTTCGGCTCTTTACCATCGGAGGCAGCGGAGACGGTATTGAAATGCTTGTCCGCAAACTACCTCAGCCTGTTCAACAAACTCGGCGATGTTAAACAGTCAGCTTGTCTTGAACAACTGTCCATAATCGCACTCACAGAGACTTGGCTCACAGCAGATGTCTCTGACGCGTAGATCTCGATAGACGGCTGCTCTAATTTTCGAGCCGATTCGAAACAAGGGCGGGCACATGGGGTTCCTCTGGACTTACATACGGCCATACTAATCTCGATTGTCATCTGTGCCGCCACCCCCGCACTCTTTTGCGATGCATCGTGGGTCTAAATCCCGCTGCGCGAGTCCGATTCTCTCCTTCTCGGTGTGGTCCACCATAGCCCCTCGAGTTCCCCTGAAGATGACCAAGTCCTCATACAAACCCTTGAGCAACTCTCCTCCAACTACTACTTTACTCATCTCCCGCTGGTGGGTGATTCCACCGCTCCATAGGCCTCCTGTATGGAACTCCAGCCCATCGAATCAGGCGGACTTTTTCCCGCGTCGCTGACTGAAGTCGTTCAAAAGACCGCTTGGACTCAACATGTCGTTGCACCCACCAGATGCCAAGCAGGCCGACTACCATCCCTCCTGGATTTGGTCATCACCAACGAAAGGCACTTCGTTGATCAGGTAACAATAAACGCTCCACTGGGACATAGCGACCACCTTTGCTTTCATCTGCTATTGGCCGCAAATCCGAAACTCAATCGTCGTTTCGAAACTTCTGCCGTGCAGACCTCTCAGGAATGCGCATCTTTCCTGAAAAAGTCAGACTGAGACCAGCTCCAGTGGAAGAACTATATGGCACCATTGTCCAAAAAGTTCACGAGGCTGAAGCGACGTTCGTCCCGAAAAAACCAGCACGCACTCGGAGGGACCGCGGGCTGCCAAAAAGGATTCGACGACTTCTGGAATAACGATCGCAACTATTTTTCTAAAAGTTGACTACAGGGGATACAGCAGATGAAACGGCATTTCGTAAAATGCGAAATCGCTGTGAATCAGAAATCCGCAAATGGAACATACGAAACCATTCCAAATTCAGAACCTCGCTCGGAAAAAAACGTGCTGTTCAAGTACGTGAGATATCGCCGCAGAAACAAGCCATCCGCGTTCTCTTGGGGGGACAGAAACGAAGAACCGACAAATGACCCAACAGTGGTATCTAAGGTTTGCAGAGAACACTATGCGCTAACGCACTCAGCACTAGCGTCTTCGTCAAAACCACTCTTGTCAAGGCGGAACTATGCACAGCTTCTAACCAATTTGATCTTTGCGGTGGAGGACATTTGTCAATTCTTGCACAAGACCAAAATATTCTGCAAGTGGGGCTCGTCGTGGTCCATCCAAGGATCCTGAAAGAAAGGTCCTCCATACTGGCAAATCATCTACACCTAGTGTCTCGCCAATCGCTTGACGAAGGCCGCCTTCCCTCTGCTTGGAGGAAAGCGATTGTCACGCCAATCTACAAAACTGGTAACCGACTGTCGCCTGGCAGCTACAGGCCTACAAACCTCACTAGCGTGCCATGCAAGGTGATGGAACGCGTTCTGGAGCGAACTATCCTAGATCACCCTGCTTCCAACAACCTGATATCTCCAGCTGAATACATATTTCTCCCACACCGCTCTCGCGTGACAAACATGCTCGTGTTTATGGACAGCTTAACCCAAGCCAAGGACGAAGGGCTCATATCGGATGCCATATTTTTCGACTTTTCAAAAGCATTTGATATGGTCCCACACGTCCCGCTGCTCCACAAACTCGAGTCCTACGGGATTCAAGGTAAAATCCTTCGCTGGATCAAGGCGTTCTTATCAGACAGATCGTTCCGAGTGATAATAGGCTTGACCTACTCTTCTCCAGCCCCGGTCTCCATCGGAGTACCTCAAGACTCCGTCCTGGGACCAGTGCTGTTTCTGATCTACGTCAACGACCTCCCAGATGTTCTT